GGTTTGCTCCCTCATAGATCATCTCTTCCTCCCCCCCCAAACAGAGGCTACATTTTCAGTACAGACTGCGAGTCTTTTGAACAGTGACTGTGCCGCCCTTGAGTGGAAAGCAGGCTGTTGAAGTTAACTGATGGTCTCAGTTAACTCGGTTTGGCCCTTGTATGATTTTGATTTTCTTTAATTATGCTTGCTCAGTCACAGCTCGCACTGGGTCCAGGAACTACCCCTGCTGCAGCTCTGCTGTTTAAATGTAGTAGGAGCCGCCGCAGCAGGGGTAGCGCCTTCCCTTATCGACTAATCACGTAGTCAATACAAATTATTGTATCGATTACCCAATTACCTGTCTCTTAACATCCTTACTACAAACCACAAGGCAGGCTGGGTCAGGTCTCAAACTTCTACCGCCAGGGGAGAAAGTAGCTGACTGACACTGTTTGGTGGTTCCCTCTGTGGTACATGGACTCTTGGGATACACCAGGTGTCTCTGGGGGAGTTTCTGGGACAAATTGTCATGATGGATTTTATTAATTTTGCATAAGAGGTTTGCATTTGCATAAGACGCAGCTTTGAAACGCTGTGGGAATTTGTTGTATAAAATATTTTACTTCAGGGTGTGTACCAGTGAGCACGCAGACGCATTGATGTGCCAAGCCCTCACTTCGAATCACCGTATAGCACGGGGTCAAGCTGCCCCGCAATTGTCCATTTGGAGTTCAGAGCTTAGTGGTTTTTCCTGCTTGTATACATCGTGCTTCCACTATCTCTGTACATTACCTGTCGTTGGGCAGGATACATATCTCACAGTTCTTTTATAAAGAACACACAAATTATCTGTGATGTGACAGGTAGGTGTACACAGGCAGCTGGTAGATCTGGACAGGGTATGTGTAGATTTGTCTCTAGGGAGCATAGGGCCCAGCAAAACTCATCCCCCTCTGCCCCCCCCGCTCCCATTCCACCCATTCCCCACCTCTTCTCCCTCCTTCCCTATCCCACACCTTCCTCTAAGCTCCCTCTTCTCAACCGCATGGGTAGTGGGCTGGGGATGGGTCACTCCATTCCCGCTTGTAAGTGCACGGGAGAGCCCAGCTCCTGCTGCTGGCACCAGGGCACCGTCCCTCCCCCCCCGCTAATCCTCCGGACCCCTCAAAGCGTTGGGGCCAGGGGCAGTTGCCTTGAACCGTCTTATGGACAAGACGGCTCTGGGTATGCTGGTCTGGCTGGGAGTATGCAATAGGAAACATTTGGGAGCCTCTACTGTAGCGGACACTTGTGGTTCCCAATAAGCAGTTCCCTCCGATTCATTCCTTCTGATGCCTGAAGTGAGAGAGAGGCTAGTGCCGTTTTTTCCTCCATGGGGTCTCTGGCAGTTAAGCCTCTACAGCGGGTGCTTGCTGTCTTTTGGTTTTCCTTTCTTCCCGGAGCTTCGCTGTGGCACGCTGCCATCACTTGCGTTGCCCGCTGACGAGCGAGAAATCGACTGGCCTGGAATTGCGCCACACCGTTCTGGAGACAGTCTGACAAGCAGTTATTCTAACTTCCAGCATTCTGTAAGCAGCAGGTACCGGTCACAGCTGGTGAAGTTGTGTGTGACATTCAGAAATATACGGCCCATCAAACTCAAAGCAATGTTATCTTCCAGCCGTAGTCCCCGCAGGTGGAGATTTCCCCTGTGATTGGAAGTTACCAATGGAAATGCTGTAACCTTTTGCTGTGCCTATGTACAATCTGCAAAAATACTTCACAAAGGCCAGCCACAGTTTATACTCCCATTATAGTTTATATATATATATATATAAATATAT